TGTGTGTGTGTGAATGTGAAAATGCAAATTAGTAAGCAGTGAACTGCTTAAACCATAGTTGGTTTTACAAATACTGCTGCAAACATTGTTGAATGCGTGTGTTTAAGACGCCATTTATGTTTATTAGAGGGCTATAAATAAAGTTTTGAGTTGCCGTAGTGGATGTATAGTAATTGACTGAGTTTGGATATATATATATATATATATATATAAATATATTGAGTGAATTGTATATACTTAAGACTAACATATTACTTTCAGTAGTAACCTCTCTTCAGCAATAAATGCTGGTGTGTTTTATTTTTTAATTTCTTGTGTGTGCTGTGAGAATTAATAGAGGTTTCAATTTTTCTTTGACTTGCTCTTTCTGATTATGAAAAGCATGTCTAAAATACTCTTAGGAAAGCGTATTTTGAGTTATGTTCCTCAACTTCTGTCACAGTTTAAGTGTGTGAATGCTGTGAGAAGCAGGTTTTGAGTGATTGGGTGTGATTTGTACAAAAATAATAAGTAAGAAAAACACTACGAAAGTTGATAGTAGAGTGAGTGAAACAGTGGAAGTTTGAGAGAAAAGACGGTGGGTGTGAAACAATTTCTGATGTCTGAAAGAGCAATGTGGAGCACACTGAAGACTGTGATGTGAATGCTGACAAATGCAAAGAATTTAGTATAGTTAAAAGTGTGTGCGTGAAATAAGGGTGCATTGTTTTTAGATCAAGACTTAGTAGAACCGAAGAGTTTGATTAGGCTGTAAAATAGGAAAGAGGAACAGAAAATATGGCTCTGAGTAGCTGCATGTGTGACAGGAAATGGTGTGTGTGACAGGAACTCTGCATGCCCATAAAAGGAACTCACTGTGACAAGTGAGCACCCAGAGAGAGAAACAGAGGAGTTAAACTCTAGGCAGATGAAGCAAATGGAGGTTTTAAGAAAAGAAATGAAAAGGATATTAAATGTATGCTTTAGCGCGTAAAAGAGGTGGACTTCTCTCAACCTGGAATCTTGAGTACAGCGGCAAAAGGATAGATTAACAGAATTGGGGAAAACAGGCCAGGTTTTGGCTAAATTTTATAGCTTGACCTCTCACTTTGTCCCCATCCTGAGAAGAAGCTCAAAGGACAGTTAATCGCCTGATGAAGACCGACAGAACATCGTGGACTTGAAGAATTAACAGCAGGCAAAAGACAGTGCAACTGAACTATTAACACTGAAGACGACTGACGACACCAGCAGCATGTAAAAAAAGCACGTGATGCAACATGTACTGTGAATTACAGGCTGGGCAGTTGAACAGTGGGATAAAGAACTGTGGGAAAGCACTGGACACTGATTTTCAGATTTGCCATGCTTGGAGCAATCTTGAAAGAGACGACTGAAAG